TTCGGGGCCCGAACGACCTAAGGTAAACTTGACTCAGCCCAATATATAAGCTGAGAATTTTTGAAGAAAACTCTCAGGCAGAGCCGATAAGTTTTTACAATGAGCAATGCTCATCAATTATGAGTATTGCTCCATGAATGATGCTTAGCTCATGAGTTGATTTTTACAAAGTCTTAATCTCCTCTTGTAGTATCAAGTTTTTCAAAACTAAAGATTAAATGTATAAAAAGCTAACAGATCAATCATAGAAGTAAATTTGTTTCATTCACGATAAAGAAATACTGAAAACCGCATATTTCGCTCACAAGAAAATCAACCGAGATGACACTCTCCACTTTGACTCCTTCAACTGAGTATTACATTCAGTGACTAGACCTCATTGAGTCTAAAACCAAACCAACGACCTCTAGAAGCGGTTACTTTCGTCCTGAATTGTATAATTTTGCTTTTGCTTGCTTTCCTCATACTGTAGAGGCGCTAGTATCCAAAAGTTATGGTTAGCTTGCTTATGATTTGATAAATTTTTGTTGCTCCATAGAATTCCATTCTACATCTTTCTTAATATGAAGGAAAAAAAAAGAGGCAAAACACACAACTAAACTAAATAATGACAACACCAGTTACGAGTTTACCTATATCATTTTCAAATGATGATGCCAAAACAAATATATGTTCAAAATCTCAATCATCCATAAATGCATTAGCTACACTTGTAAAATCTATTATAAAAAATTCTCATACAAATGATTATTTAACAACAACATTAAAACAATTTGCAACAAGTGATCAACAACTTATTTTAACACAAGATCATATTAATAAAATAGAACATACATGTCAACAATTACTTTTTCAATCAGATATTCTTCAATTAGATACACAAGAACTTATTCAAATTCATCAAACTTTAAATTCTATGAAACTTAATAATAATTAAACAAATTTCTTTTTTTCTTCTCTTTTTTAAATATCATTTTCTATTTTAATTGATTAATATAGAAAAAAAAAGAAAAATAGAAAATGCATGATTAAATAATTCATTCAAATCTACATATCAGTATTTTTTTTTGCTTTTGTTAATATCCATATAAAGAGACAAAAGAAAGAATCACCGAATATAATGAATAGAATAGAAGATGAACATATCATAACAAATCTATATATATATATATCATAAGAAAACAAACAAAAAAATGAAAGACAATTTTGGTTCTTGTTATTGTTTTTGGAATATAAAGTTTTTCTGCACATAATATTAATAACATAAATAATAAACAAATATATATATATGCAATAATTCATTAAGTTCTTATATCATTCAAATTTTAATAATTTATCTTTTCTAATTTATTATTATTATTATTAATGTTATTACTTAATTTCCATCGTTGATTATATTTATCATAAACTTCAATTGATTTAAGAAAATTTCTTCCATCAAAACCACCTATAACATAAAGTTTTTCATTACATATTGTAATACCAACACCAACACGTGGTATATTTAATTCATTTGGCATTCCATTTATATTTATAATCCATTCATTTATAATAGGATCATATATTTCAATAGATGTTAATGATGTAATACCATTTGAACCACCAATAATAAATATTTTATTTTCATATAAAACAGCACCACAACCACGACGATTTTCACGCATTGATGGTCCAATAGACCATTCATTAGTTGATAATGTTAAAATTTCACATGATGATAAACATCGATTTGATGTATAACCACCAAATACATATATTTTACCATTAAAATAAACTGAAGCTGCTTGACTTCGTTCATGATTCATTGAATTTAATATTGACCATTGATTTTTTTCAGGATCATATCTATAACAATCATTTTTACATTTATCACCTTCACAACCACCAATTAAATATATATAAGAATCATCACTACATGTAGCTAAATTTATATTTGAAATAAAAGAAATTTTTTGTTTTTTTTTGAATATAAATATATACCTCCATGAGCAACAGGTGTAGCAAGATCTTTTATTGGTGACCATTTATCCATAGATTGTAAATCAAAATATTCACCTGTATTTAATTCTTGTTGTCCATTACTACCACCATAAACATAAATTTTATTATTAATTATTGCAGCTGATACACGACCACGTCGACTAGTCATTGGAACTGATAATAATGTCCATTTACCATCAATTGGATTAAATTGTTCAATTGTATCGAGACAATCACCACGATCATATCCACCTGAAAAAAAAAAATAAAATCCCAATTTTAAAAAATTATAATAAAAACATACCAACAACAAATATTGTATTATTTGTTGATATAATACCAAAACCACATCGTGCTGTTGAAAGTGAAGCTAATGGAATATCTTTATCAGATGTTAAAATAGGACTAAAAAGATTTGTTACATAATAATTATCATCAATAGTATCTATATACATCGAATGACCATTTTCAGATATATTTGGAGTTGATAATGATGATGGTGACATATGAATAGTAATACTTAACATTTTTCCTTTAATAATAGCAATAGCAATATAAGTATATTCTATACAAAAAAAAAACAAACAAAAGATTTTTGAGTAAATAATTCTATGTTATATAAATTGATAATTAATACCTGTTGATTGATCAATATGAATAAGTTTTGTTTCTAATGTTTGTAAAATATTTGTAATATTTGATGTTAAATTTAAAATTGGTGTTGTAAAAATTAAATTTTCATCTGAACTACCTGATGTTGATGATGTTGATAAAGTTCTTTTTGTTAATCTATAACTTTGATAATCCTAAATACAATATATATATATATATATATATATATGTTAAATTAAATAGAAAATTTACTTTAATTATATCAGTAAAATAAATATTTTTATTATCCATATCAGAACAATCATGAAGTGTTTTATCATCATTAAGATATAATAAATGCATCTAGAAAAGAATTCTATTTTTTTTTTGTTGTTTCCTCAAACTTCACATACATATTCACCAAGTTCTTGAAGTGTACTATTATCTTTTCGCATTTGTTGACTAATCCAATTTAATATAAGTTCACACATCATATTTGTATTAAGTATTGTAGAACCTATCATAATTTAACGTATGAATAAACTTATAAAAATTTAGATTTTATTTTATTTTTTTTTGTTCTTACCAACTACTTCAATTTTAATAGATGGTAATACATGAAATTCACGTGTTTCAAGTACTGCAAAAAAATTATTTTGAATACATTCAGTTGCTTTCATACGAAGATCATCATCTATGGCCATTAGACGTGTACCTAAAATTAAAAAAAAAAACACAATTTTTTTGAAAGTTCTAATTCAGAAAAAAATTAAACTAAGAAAATTAATGAAATTTCATAAATATTCTTTCTAGTAATATAATTACAATATTTTATTAGACATTTTCAATAGAGAATTTTTATACGTATAAGAAACGAACGATATGATACTTCTGCTAATCGATTGTAACAGAATTCAATCAAAAGTAACAACTTTTCATCTCAAGAGATACTAAGTCACTAGTTATTCAGATCTTTTGTGTTGTGATTCAATTTTGATTGTCTTGGATGAATAAATATTCTGTCGAAATTTCGTGTATCAGCTTATTGCTGCAGAGATATTGCATTTTTATGGTATTTTTCAGGTCAAAGTCGTGGCTTCCTAAAGAAAAATAGTTTTTGAATTTCTATTTGAAACGTCACACAAACATAGGCTTTGTTGTGGAAATTTCAGATCTTTTTTGTCATTCCTATCTTGAGATAAAGCTATGGTAAAATCATTTTTGTTTCTGAGAGAGACTACACCATTGATTTTAAAAACTCGGCTGCTGTAAACTATGGATTTGAACTCTATTTCTTGTTACAATATTCATAATTTAAAATCAAATCTGCATATTGTACATAGATCCGACTTGAAAACAATTAGACATGTGAAGAACTTTGCTCGTATACTGATTGAACTCTTCAAAATCTACACTATTCTGATAAGCATACTTTAGAGTTTATCATATATGCTTATCTTGAAGAAAATATCTTCAACCAACATAAATAAATAAATAAAGTTATTTTACTGTTCTAACAAACACTGTTTGCTTTTTTCAATTAACTTTCGTTTTATATAAAAAAAGAATATGTAAAGTCACCTTGACACGTTCGAATATGACGAGAAAATATTCTCATAAGTTATAACATACTCAAACAATTGTGTTCATTGAGTTGTTCAATAAGATAATTTGAACAAGCTTTAAAAATTGTTTCAACACGTAATTGATATGCAGTTAAATAAACTTTTGGTACCATATCTGATGTTAATTGAAAACTAAAGAAAAGAAAATAATAATTTTTTTTTTCTTTTTATTGTTTTAAATTAATAAAATATATATATTTATTAAATTTTGTTTTTTCTTTTTTTTTTACCTTCCTTGATAAATAAATTTTATAATTAATTTTAAAGCTGTATATTCAAGACCATCAATTTGATAATACATTTGTTTCTTTTTTAATGTATCTATTTCATCATGAAGAAAAAGTTCACGAAAATAATTTGAATGACAAGATAATAAAGCTCTATGAGCAAATAATTCATGACCTTCAACTGTTAATATAACATCACATAATTGTCGTTCTTTTCGCATAGCATCAAGACATTTTAATGTTTGAATTCCATGTATATTGAAATTTTCACATTTTAAATGTAATTGAATAGTATCATTATCTATATTTTCGATTGGCTCTATGGTAACGACAGAAGCTGTTATTTCACCCATCGAACTGACCAAAAAATTCGAAGAAATTGTCTCTTTTTAAATAGCTCGATTCGGCGTCTCTTCTATAATAAACAAGTAAATAAATGGACATATAACAAAATTTGGATCGACCAATCAATCAACGGAGGAATTTATCGGACACAATATATGATTGGTTAAATAGATTTGCTTGTTAATAAAAACGTATTTATTTTCTTTTTTTTATTTTCTTTGATTTCATAACAATGTCCGACCTTAAACCTGATTCTCTTGAAGCATTTCAACGACTTATATCTGAACAAACATCTTATATAGATGAAGTTGATAAACAAATTGATAAATGGACACAATTTCAAAATGATTATCATCATTTACATACACGTCTTTCAACATTACCTGATCGTTTAACATATGAATGTATGGTACCATTTGGTAAATTAGCTTTTATACCTGGTCGTATAATACATTCAAATGAAATTCTTGTTTTATTGGGTGAAAATTATTTTGTTGAACGTTCATGTAAACAATCTATTGATATTATTAATCGTCGTCTTAAAAATATTAATGAAAATCTTGAAAAACATCAAAAAGAAAAAGAAGTATTTAATCAACAAAAAAAATATACAAATGATTTTCTTGATGATAAAACAAAATTTTTTGAAATTAAAGAAATTGATGATAATATAAATATTAAACAAGAAAAAAAAACATTAAATCGTCGTACAAAATTAACTCAAGAAGAAATTCGTGAAGAACGACGTCAATTACAAGAACGTGCAATGAAAATGAATGAAAATAAAATTAAAAAAAAAGTACATTTTGATGATGATCAAATGAATGTTGATAGTGATGATGATGGTGATGATGATATACCAAGTCAACAATTAAAAAAAATATTTATTCATCATACAAAAACTGATTCTCTACCTATTGGAGATCCATCACCAGCACTTTTTCCTCATCCAGGTGCTATTAGTATTAATCAACCAATAGCATTTACTGGAAAAATGATTGAACGAGATGTAACTACTAAAGTCGAACCTCCAAAACGAATATCAAAATTTAAAGCTTCACGTCAACAATAATATAAATGTATTTATTTATTTTTTTTGTTTTTAGATTAGTGCATAAATCATGTCGGATTCAGCTTGTACAATTCGTACACGTAAATTTAAATCTAATCGATTACTTTGTCGTCGACAAATGGTTGTTGATGTACTTCATCCAGATCGTGCATCACTTTCTAAAAAAGAAATTCGTGAAAAAGTTGCACAACTATATAAAACAACATCTGATCTTGTTTTTTGTTATGGTTTTAATACAAATTTTGGTGGTGGTAAATCAACTGGTTTTGCACTTATCTATGATACACTTGATTTTGCAAAAAAATTTGAACCACGTCATCATCTTGTACGACAAGGTCTTGCTGAACCAAAGAAAACAGCAAGAAAACAACGTAAAGAACGTAAAAATCGTATGAAAAAAGTACGTGGTACAAAGAAAGCTGCTGTCAAAGATGCTAAGAAAAAATAAAGAAAAAAAATACACAATAACAAATCATAGGTATATGGAATCAACATCGGCAAAGAATTGTTTTGTGTTTTTATTACTTGTTTTCTGTTTTTGCTTGTTTTTTTCTTTATGTAACATCTTAAGGATAAAACAAGAAAATAAAAATAAGAAGAAAATGCATTTGAAATGAAAGAAATAACGAATAGGTAAATTGTTCTTTATTTATAATTGTCAATTGAAAAGAATTTATTATGTAATACTCAGAAAGAATTGTATCAAAAGAGAGATCCTTGAGAAATAGATTTTTTATTTTTCATTCGATTTCAACAAATATTAGATTAGGAGTAAAATATCTTTCTTAAATTTCTAAGATACTCTATTACTCTTACAAGTACATATTATGTCAAAGTTGTAGTCATGGTTTCTTACAAGGTGGATATAGATGAAGATGAAACCTTTATTTCTTGAGTGAGAATTCTTTATTGAAAAAAATTTTCGACTAAAAAAATCTTTTGTTCCAATTTTCTGCTAACAAACTATTCTCTGAAAAAGTTATCTTCCAAAACAATCGTAATTTTATAAAGGAAGCTCATAAGGTCGAAAGTTTTTACAATCATTCTAATCAATAATAATATGGAAGGTATTATTTTTTGCAAAAAAATAGTCTTTATTCTGTAAATCAAACTTTTTTTTTTAGTTGTGAAGTGTGTTCCGAAACATTTTGTTTTACTATTAGGAGGAAGAACAACTCATCAATCTATCTTTTATTTGTATATTTTATGGGCGAGTCTTTTATGTTTTTAATTAAATGAATTGTGAGAAAAAAACTAGTCAGAATGATCAGAAAATACATCTGACACGTATGCATTTAGGTAAAATTGCTCTAGTCTCAATTGTAGTTATCTCATACAAACATACATGATTTATCATGTATGCTTGTGTGAGATGACTGCAACTGAGACTTCAGCAAACTCTATTCAGACGTAATTATATTATGAAATTAAAAACAATTGAAGTTATGCAATTTTTTTTATAGATGATAAGAATGAGAACAAATAAAATATTTATCGATCTATTTGTATAATGATTCATTGCATTTATTTCATTTTCATACAGATTTTATGTGAATTGTTTTTAAGCAATATGTTGTGAAGCTGAGAACCAACAAAAACTTTCATCATGTATCTAATAACAAGAATTTTAAATCCATATTTTTAATAATATTTATAAATATATGCTTTTGTTCTTTTAACTAATCTCATCAATTGTTCTATAAACTTTACTCAAACAAGGACAAACCAAGTTTTCATTGATTTTTTTTTTTAAATCTCCAATTCATTTTGATTTTTCTATTACTAAAAGAAATAGAATGTAGATGTCAATAAGATTTTTGATATAACGACAGTTTCGAAAAATGGTAGCAACATTTGATTTAATGAATACTTACTGTTGCTATTGAAACTCTGACACGATGCTTTCGAGAACACAACATTTCTCAAAGCTTATTATAACGTAATCAATAACGTACATCTCTAAAATCATAAATAATTGCTTAGATTCAGATATGTTACATTGCTTGTTCAAAGTAAAAGTCGGATCACAAGAGTAATATGTAAACTTTGTTACTCTGGTTCACGACCATGAAAACATGACTAGGCGCTTATCTCAGCAACTACGTCTAGTAGTAGAGAATTTTTGTCAGATTTTTCTCGAATCTAAGTTATTAGCAATTGGCAAACGTATGGAAATGTTTAGAAAAATGTTACATTCGATCTTATTGATATTATACTACTTTGGATAAATGATTAGTTTTATCTGATCGATAATATGAGTTGATAAGTATTGATAGAGTTTGTTTAGTCTTAGTTCATCAGAAGTGATACCAAAGCTACACACTATGGATATATTTAAACATTAATTTATGATTTTGATTCTGAACCATGGAAACGATTCATTTGTCAACATTACTTCTTGTATTAGAAAACCTTGCTTTTTTTTACTGCTTGTTACACTTCAAAATAATGCAATCAATGATTTTATAGTTGCTGTTTTTTGTGACTGAATTGAAAATGCTGCCTGTCGATTGAAATATTTTTTTTTATTTGCGTTATTATTTATTGTGTAGAATTAAATCTCAGTAAAATTTACAATGATTCAAAATTGAGTAGTTTTTAAGTCTTGATTGGATATCAAGTAAACTCGCCCTGGGTCGAAAGTAAAAAGAGTGACAGTAAAAAAATGTCAAAAAAAAATCTTGATGAAAAGTAAAAGTAAAATTCTGAAAGAAAGAGACTATTTTGAAAGATTTTGGATAAAGATATCATGATTAAACATCGAAGTGTTGAGTGCAATTGTGTGACTGCCGAGAAGACACTTATACACTGATTGCAGGTTATTATGATAAAATGAACTCTTTTATTTATCGATATTATTCAAATATATGAAATTTGATCAATTTTATGAAAGCAGAAGAAAACTGTATGCGGAATATCATGCTTCAATGATCTTCTAATGTATCGAAATAGCAAAATAAAAGAACAACAGCCTGATAAAGCAGAATAAACACGTTATATAATCGATATAATAGTTATTTGATTATGTCATCTGATCTTCATAACAGTTTGTCTTTTATCAGAGCACAAAAGAAAAATTTCAAATAATGAACATTTAATTCGAATTCAACTGCTGAGTTATTTAGTTTTCTGAACGAGAAAATATTCATAAGTCTCTAATATCCGAGCTTGGTCATCTTATGCTAGTACTCGAACCAGAGTTAATCAACATGCGACTAATACTTTCATTGCCAAAGCACAGTTTTCAAACCTTTACTTTATATGAAAAAGTATACTATTTAGTTTTTTCCATAAACAGCAACAAAAAGAAGAACTCATCTCAAATTCCACACAAAAAATAAGTGTTTCAGGATTAGAGTCCAGCAGCATAGCTGTACCCTACATGGTAGGATAGTGTTACGGTAAGGCAGCTTAGCAGAGGGAAGAGTAAGGATTGCCAAATAATGTTCAGGATGAAACTTGGGCTTCCGCTCATATTAATAAGAGAAGCTTTCATAATGAAAACACCTTTTAAGACAATACTAACATCTTTCTAGATTAGAAGACTACACACGTGGGTGCTGCAATGTGAAAAGATTAGACCAGAGAGATGACATGAATCAGAAAGCAATGATCTGGTTTTCGTTGTCTCTCGTTGCTTCATTTAAAGTGAGTGTATGATCTAAGGATTTCTTGTTTTTCTATCGAGCCAAAACCAGTGTGGGACGTGGGTGTAGGTGTCGGTATGGATATGGGTATAGGTCTGGCTGTTATTCTTCTCTTTAACGACATCCACATCTGATATGGGAATATGTCTCGATATTGGTAAAAGTAGCCTAATTGATTTCTTCGTCTAAGTATTTATAAAGAAGTGTAAGGCAAAATCGAAAATGATTGTGGTTGATATATTTCGTGATTCGCATCCTCAATTTCAACTAATTTCTGATGAATGGGGCTCAATCTTAAATCCTTCAAATTTCTCGCTTCATTTTAACATCATTGGCTGTAAAGCACGACAACATGTGTCCATTTTTCATAATTCATCTACCTGCTTTGAATAAAAGTGTTACGTCTCAATTGATAATTTTTACAACAGAACGCTGATTATAATAGATGTTGCTTGCTTGCGTACAAAAGATAAAAGCAAGTGATCATGTCATATGTGAGAGTTTAATTAATCATATACATAACAGATGCCTTTGAAAGAATAAAAGTATCAATCTTTCTTTTATCTAGAGGGTGTGGGCTACTTACGAGAAGGCTCACACTCGACCTCCACACACACACCCACACCCTAAACAATAAAAAAACGAGTTAAACAGTATGAAGAATATGAGTTCGACTGCTATACAATATTTCAATGCTTTCATAGTTATTTGAAAAAACTATTATATATTTGTTAAAATTCTTAATACTGTAATCGTTGACTTTTTTCAGAATTTGAACTTGTATTTTAAAAATCAAGGATGTAGAGTAATAATATATATTGATCTGTCATAGCAATTATATAATTAATATGAGAAGCATCATTCGATCTTTTTATCAGTGTGGAAAGTAAACAATATCACCATTTATGGATTAATCGTGAACCACAGTACTGTGGTAAGAGCTGCTGATGCATATAAACTGCATTATTGTGATAGTCTTATTTATGAAATAGTCGATGGTGAAAAAAAAATTGCAAATTAAAAAAAAAACAAAAAAAACAGATTATTATCGAGTAAATAGCAACAATTATAAATGAAATCGGGCGCGCTCAAATGAAAAAGACATTTTCTGTTTTTAATATAGAAATAAATAATAATTTCTCGCTCTTGTCATCGATTGTTAGTGAAAACAACTATAGTTGACAAGAAATCTTTCAGTTTACAGATGATGTATTAGGATAACAAGGCTGAAGGGTATACATGAGTTCTACATTTCAGCTCCAAAAAAGCTGCACTAACAAGTTTTATTTCATTGTTTATCGATTTTCATCTAACGACTTCGAATTAAGAGATGTTTCAATAGAACAACAAAAGCTAATTCTTAAAAAAAAGATTCTCTAATGTTACATCTTTTATTTTTTTGAATTAATATAAATATTAGTTAATTCAGATTCTAATTAATTAATTAATCGATGTTATCTTGGTTGCTATTTTGTTGTTAGCAAATGGATTTTTCATGCCCTTTTCATTACTTCCGTTATTTCTCATCGTGATCGTGTTGACATATGATCATCATTATCAGCGGCTCCGTCTTATTCGTTTGGATTCAATGTTATCAGACGTTCACATTTATCGAATCACTCATGAAACGTAACTGTATCTTTATCTATATGAAAAACTTTCATACATAAAAATGAAATTATTTACCCGTACTGCATAAGAAGCAGGTTATAGATAGCAGAAAGAGGTCTCCAAAATCGTTGCATATGTGTTTACTTTAAAAAATTTATAATGACAAGAAGGTCTACAAAAGTGTGGCTGTTCATCGTTTATTCACGCCTACATCCATCGCACATTCACGCATATTGAAGTGCACAAAAAAAGCAACGTTATGTTTGCAGCGATTTCAATGTTATAATCAAACGAACAAGGTATGAATCAAGATAAGACTGTGCGCTTAATACTCTTGTACTTTGTTGTGATTTATATGTTTTTCGTGTAGCACTTCATAGTGAGATTTTGAACGAAATTTAGAAGCTTGAAACCATCGTTTTTTGTAATTAAATTTTTTATAGATTGCTTTTGTAGAATGACTTTTATTTTTTTTTTACATAAAATAATGAAATATTTATTCAAAATTTTTTCGTATTATCACTAAGCGTTATCTTATGAAAAGTTTACTCTTTAGTTTCAAGAACCGAAAATTTAATATTTAAGGGGTTAAAAACTCTTGTGAATTAGTAAAATATGAGGTTAACTCTGTATCAACGTGAAGAAAAAAAAACTCGTACTGTTACATGTTTTTGGCTTATTAGATATCTTCTTGGAATGTTTCGTAAGAGTCACTATCAAACTTTTACATTGCTATCTGTTGCCAATATCGGTATTGTTTTCTTTTCAGAATATGCCAAATAGCTACAAAGTAGAAAAAAAACATTAGAGAAGGATCTATGACAGCTTAATACATTCACTTACCTCATGATAAACAGAGGGAAGAGACCTAAGAGTGCGAGCACAAAAAAGACCAGTCCGGGCCAGAAGTGAATTGATGCATTGTAGATGGAATTCGATGCGGCGTCGATCGCCTTGTCACCACCAGCTTCAATGAGGGCTGCAGCGATGAAAACTATAGCATATTCGCTAGGCTCGACGAGTCTGCTCAATTTGGATCTTAGTACTGGCATCGTAATAAAAAATAAACTTCCAATAGATGCAGCTGAAACGAAATAGATCTAATTTTGTCAAAGAAACATGAAACTTTTTCAGTAAACAAACCGATGTAGAGTAACCAAGCCCATCTGGCCAATCCGAATAGAACAAGATCAACAACAAGAGCAAGTAAACCGATGATGGGTAAGAAATAAGTCTTGTCCAAGTGCTGTGTTTTGAACAAACTGATTAGCAAAGTGAGTACAAAGGCGCTAATTGCATGAGTTGTTGCAAGCAAACCAACGTGGAGTGCATCCATACAAAATGGGCGTCCGTAGGCGAAAAGGGCAAACACAGCCATATAACCGAACAACATAAGCAAAAGAAGAATGTTAACAATGCTGATCAGTATCAGGTGTTGTTGATTGTAGCCAGGACGTTTTATAAGAAATACCTGGATGCAACGAATTATTGGTTTCAGACGAATACGTGCTATTTGCTGGATAATCGACTTGTTGCGACTAGAAATAGAAAGGATCTGAATATTTCTTTATGTAGAAAAAAAAGCGTTGCTTTTTTTCTCTTCTGAAATTTCCAAGAGCAACAAATATCTATTCCAATAACTGATATGATAAGACAGATATTTACGAAATAGGCTACCGATTGTGATATTTAGTCGTTTATGGACTACAATACTAGCGATACTAAGAATTCGGAAAAGTTAATTAAATAATGTTTCGACATCAAGATCTTATCGAAAGTTTTTTAGAATATTGTTTTATGAATGTCATTTTCCAAAGTCATTTAGCAACATTCTTAATTCTATTAATCTCGAAAACCTACATTCATATTCTCTATGGTATAAAGCTGCATTACAAGGAATAAGTTTCTTCAAAAGACAATTTAGATGAATAAATTTCGTTCAATTTATGCATGTGTCAAATCATCATCAAAAGAATTTCAATCCTATGTAGAAATGGAGATCAATCATTTCGATACAGTTTCACATGAGAAATGGAATGTACTGCGTAGTTCCTAGTGAGTTTTGATGACTCTTCAAACATTCAGATACGATTTTTCATATGAATGCATCAGCAATTTTTCTCCGGCATGATTAAAATTCAAAGCTATGGAAAAGAAAAGTCTTTAGGTAATGAGTGATATGTTTTCATCAAAACGACATGACATTTGGATGATTTTGAGAAACATTTTCTCAAGATCACTACTGTATATCTCGTTATTTTCATATTCAACTTCTTTCCAGATGAAAATAGGTCTCACGTTTCAGTAGTTACACTTCAATATGTTTTCTTGTCTCGGAATAGTTGTTTACACAACAAACTTTTGTCATTCTGTAGTCCAACGGATCTTAAATGTGTATTTGTTGATTTATGACAGATTATGTACAACCAGGAAAAGCACTATATTTCATATAGGTTTACGATCTATTTGTTTATTTTCTAGTTCATATCTACATAGATTAAAGAAAATGTTTTCGTATAGATGAAACTGAATACAATAGTTTCTTAATACGACTGTATGATTCATTCAGTAAGGACATACTTTTTTACACGGCTATACGACACCAAAGTGGAAATGCAATGATATATTGAATTTATTATGCCACTCTTCTGCGTCTGTTAGTTTCATATTCCGCATACTCTAACAGAAATAGTCGCAGAGACAATGATGTCTTTTATCATCACGATTTTTCCTGATACGCGCGTAGATATGCTTTGTAGATATTATTTTCCTTCAAGCATGTCAATAAACACGAACAGCATGACTTTTTGACAAAAAAAAATTATGTAAGATGTTTCACAAAAGTAGTATCATTTTATTGAACGCTTTTGATAATAGAAATTCGTCCAAATCAATCGAAACCCGAAAAAAAAGTAAATTGTCTTTAAATTGGTAGTATTTAAAACCTGCACAGGATGTATCGATTTTTTTCGTCAAATTAGAAGTGAATATTTCTTTAATAATGGGATTAAATTAGAAATACAATCATGGCTTCAACATTTTCTCTGTCAAGAACTCTATTTTAAAATCTTTCAGATGAATTTCAGACGAAAAAACAGATAAATGCGAAGGAATTCGAAAAACATGGACAAATTTGAAATCAAAGGTAGATTCTGAAAAGACTCACACACTTTGCACGGATTCAGGTTGTATGAACAGCACGTAGAGCATTCCAATAACACTTAACCCAAGGCAGACACTTGTCGGAACAGTATAAAGAAAACGTTGCAACCATAAACCAACTGCTAGGACTGGAACGACACGTGCCAGTAGAGCGATCACTTCGGCTATTACAAATGGTCGAGTCCTTTCTGATTCTCGTGTACAGTCAGTGATGAAAGCTAAAGCACTTAACATGACAATACCAACCGAACCGAACAAAGCTTCACACGCATGACCAACTAGTAACCATCCATCAGACAGATCACGAGCAATGATAATTAACATGAAAATATATCGAGCCACTTTACCAATAAATGGTAAGAGAAGTAATGGACGTCGACCGATGGTATCACAGTTCGAACCTAGTAGAATAATGGCGAATAATGAGGGAATGAGTGTAGCAAATGAGTTTTTAACATTAAATTTCGCGGCATCTTTCTGCACAATGTCATAAGCAGCCCCGTCAAGTGAATACTGCTCAAGGTACCAATAGCCGGGCGTCGAAGTCGACGATTGAAGACGACATGCAGTTCGTTGACCTCTCGCTGAAGATTCAAATCCATAATGGCGTTCGTAGCGACGCACGATAAAATCATTTATAAGTAAAGCATCAGGTGCGGAAGTCAATGTCATTAACAATAAACAAGGTATAACAAGCCACCAACGAGGCATAGAGGGAGACAGGTTAGAGATTTCCTTAGTTTCTTTCGCATTGATCAAAGGAACTTTATTTGTATTTATTTCAGTATCATTTACTGTTCGACAAAACTGTTTTATAACCATGCTACTGCTGTTATAATTATTGCCAGTCGGAGTTGCTATACGATACTGGCGAGTAATCATTGCACAAACCTAAGTTAACCTTGAATGAAACCACTAACAATATTACCATCACCAAGAGTACCCACCACGAGATGTGTGCTCTTCTTAATACTTGGGTGCAATGGTCCCAAGAAAAAGAAAAGAACAGAAAATTATTTTGTCCTTGAGCTATACAACGACAGGAAGAAAAGAAGAAGAAAAAAATTGAATAAATAATGAGTTTTCGTCTACCACCAAGAGTAGACACATACAAGGACAAGGAAATAACGCCGTAATAAAATGCGTTACATTCAAGAGTGCAATCATAGGTAATGCCACGTATATGAAAGTTGTACTAATTAGCTTTTCTCTGCTTGTAGACAACATTGTTTTTTTTATATTTGTATAAGAAGAATCTTATGCCAAGAGTGCATACTCGATGATGATATAATTTAATTTTTTTTTCTTCAGCCAAGTGTGACATCATCAAGCAAAATTGTAAAAAAGTCAAATAATGTCATGTTTAAGTATGCACTCTTGACATAAGATTCTTCTTATGCAAATACAAAAAAGCAATATTGTCTACAAGCAGAGAAAAACCAATTAATACAACTTTCATATACGTTGCATTACCTATGATAACACTTTTGAATGCAAAGCATTTGACTACTACATTATAGCTTTGTCCTTGTATGTGCCTATTTGCAACGTTACGTGTTGTAAAATACTTACTCTTGGTGATTGACGAGAACTCGATGTAATTTTTTTTTCTTCTTCCTTTCTTCCTGTCGTTGTACAGCTCAAGGACAAAATCATTTTCTGCTCTTTTTTACCTTTGAGTCATTGCACCCAAGTATTGAGAAGAACAGACATTGTGGTGGTACCCTTAGTGATCGTAATGTGGGTAGTCATTTCATTTAAGGTCAACTTAGTTTTGTGCAATGCTTGCTCGCCAGTATAGTCTGATAATTTCAACTATTGATGATAATAATAGCATTAGTAAGGTGAAAAAAAAACAATTCTGTTGAACAGTAAATGTTGCTGAAATACACACAAATACAGTACGGCTGTGGGTATGCAGGTGTGTAGCTATGGACGAAAAGAATAGTGGTTCTTCTAGCCACACCCCTAATCAAAAATGCATGACTCCAATAGTTCGAATTAAAAAAGATTTTTTCAATTTTATAAATACATGCATGGATAGTAATTTTGGAATAATATTTGATATCATGAATGTTTTTTCTTTCTTCATCTCTTTATTAATCTTAATTATTGATTTAGAGCCCATAGTATTTAAATTGTTTCTATTGTTTGAACAATCTATTTTGACAAGACAAATATGCTGATTGAAATTCTTGTTTAAAGGCATATGTGCATTATACACCAAGAGCTTTTGACTTGAACAAATGCAAGTGGAGTAACGACAAAAGAAAAATAGAAAGAGAGAGAATGAAAAACTATGAGAATTCTTGTTGGAGACCTGAGTGTACACTTCTGCAAAAATTAAACTATAATAGTCAGTGATTTACAAAAAAAAACGAATGTATTGAGTAGTGTCACATATCCAAGATTTTGGAGATGCCACCACATCTTCCGTGGGAGATGCCGCGTCTCCAGCGGGAGACGCGACACCCACACTCGAGAGATATGGTCATTCACCACTGGAGATGTAAGATCTCCTTTAGAGATGCGCATCCCCCACACCGACACCCACATCTCTCGCGCGAGATGCGGCATCTCCCGCGGAAGACGTGGTGGCATCTCCAAAATCTTGGATATGTGACACTGCTGAATGTATTGAATTGAGCTTCTCATACCAGGGTGGGGTGTAGGTGCGAGGAACAATAGATATCCACACCCAGTTGAAGCAAATATGAAATAATTGGCTCTGTGACCTTTTTCTAATCAAATATCAAATCGTTGAAGGATAACAAGTAGTTTGTCTTTGTAGTATCTATGTTTTTTCTACGCTTTGTTTTTTAATATTTGTTTTTCACATTTCCTATGATATTTTTGCTGGTGGTTATTTATTGTGATTTTTTGCATGATTAAATACAAGAACTAAATACTTATTCAACTTACTTAAAAGGAAATCTTTAAATATAGCTGAAGTTCGCTATTGATGCAGATGTATTCAAGTGTCTAAATAGTAGAAAATATCACGTGATAGCGCGTAATACTGGTTACGTATTCGTCGTAAGTTCGTATTATAGTGGATATAATGGAGCGCTGAAAGGGATCACAATATTAGCAATATCATGCCGCTATTTAATCATTATCGACGACATGACATCAAATGTAGAAAGCTAAACTAAACAACAGTTTCTTCTCTTTCTATTTAATTATTGAAAAATAATGTCATGAACGTGGAAGTGAGTGCGCCCATAGAAATTCGACAACCACCATTACGCCCACACCCAAAGGGTTATATAGATGGGCAAATAGCAGGTGATGAGAGATGACAAAATTATTATTAAATAGATAATAGAACACAGTCGATATCATTTAAATACAACAATGACTAGCTCAGAGCGCACAAAGACGTTTTAGGGACCATGCATAAAAGATCTTCAGGTATAATGGGAGGGAGGCGTCAGACATTTCTAGACATCCAGACATTTACTATGACTATTTGCTTTTTCTTCTCACGTCAAATTTGAATTAACGTTTGTTTGTTTTGAAAAACATCTTTAAACAGAAAACACTTTAGCTGATTATGAATAATTTAAAATTATGCTACATGGGCAGCTAATTATTTACTGAAGCAAGGATATAAACGTGAGTCTATTTTCGAATGCGATTGGTCTTAAACTTCATGTTTTGTTTTTCTTTGATAAATTGCTGATTAAAATACAATATGTTTACAAACCAAATCTTTTCAATAGAATATATATTTGTTAGTTGTTTATGAAATCTGCGTTTTTTCGTTGCTAGTTTTAATATATCTGTTGAAAGAACTGCTATTGAATTAAAAAAACAAGAGCTACATGTTTGAACAAGCTGGTTCTTTCTACAGAAGATTCCAAAAGTTTGTTTTTTTTTGGTATATCTTTCATATTCTGCTCAATTTAATCAATAAATTTATTTTTAATAATAGTAGATTCATACATCAAGTTTTTATTGATACAAGCAAACTTCAAAAATATTCTTTAAAGCTATCACCTCCAACCGAAATACAAGATTTTAACAGCTTTTTAAAAGTAGAAAAATATTTTTTTCCAAATCTTTAATAACTGTTTTATAGATATTAGTTTTGAATATATTTCCCCAAACAGTAATCTAATTAAATGACATTAAGTCTAATGACCGTAAAGCTCATGAAATCGATCCATCTCTTTGAAATCATTGCTCACCAAACTTAACCATCACACTGTATCAAACTGCCTTCGAGTAATCTACTGCTATCCTATGTTCCTAGAAAATAATCAGTTTGCTTGATATAATACACCATTAGAGCCCGTTGGGTTCAAATTAAGCCCGACAGTTGCTGCCCTAAAAATAATATTAAATTATATCCTCGTGTTTATCATATCTTTGAAGTGTCTCATAAAATGGATAAAAATGTTTCTTTTTGAGTATATTATGAGTATAGATCTGGCCTAAGCCCAGAAACTGTGAACCGTATAGGTTCTTCAAACGTCACAGTAAGTTTCGGTGAATGCATGGCAACTTCAAAGTAGCACAAAAGTCATTTTGAGTTCAAATACTGCAGATGAATATTTGGAAGAATACTTTTAAAGTATGTTGGAATAAATAAATACTTGTTGTATTCACCTATCATTGCAAAGAAACATTTGATGAAGTTAAATCAAATCATAAAGATATACAAAACATGATTGAGCAAGAAACTTCTGGTTTATTTTGTAAAAAGTTTTTTTTTCTTAATACTGGACGTTCTTTATTGATTATTCTTGACTACCAGTTAGCGTTGCTCTTATCAGAGATAATGCAAGTAAACCAAAAACTTTTTTTTTTCTTATCATAAAACTAATCTTAGAAGAGTGATTCTTTTTGTGAAAATATTATTCAACGTACCTTTTTTAAATAATAAAACTCAAAAGATACAAGCAGTATGCAACAACTGCGAATATTTCTAATAATTCTTGGTTTGACATTAACGAGTGTCATCTATGGACAATGGGATCCACAGTTGTGTCCGGATGGGCCTACTCCTATCCCTGACCCTAAATGGAGACGTATTCCATATCTATTTGAAATTATGACAGAATTGATCTCAGGTAATGAATTGATGGAACTTTCACAAGCATTTTCAACAGTTCGAGATGCTGTTATGTTAAATTCAAGAAATGGTTAGTACTCAGCTTTTTTCTTATGTCATAATCAACTTTTATTTCATGTTTTTTTTTCTCATAGGGCCAGTACAATTCTACTGGTATTTCGACACTAATGAACAATTTGAAGTTCTAACTGTTATTATTAATCAACAGCCAATACCGGTATGTCTTCGACAAGTTATTGGAACTACATCAGAAACTAGTGTGATTCAAGCAAATACACTTTTCTTGAAACCATCAGTTTTACTTGGTTATGATAATCGTAACCAAATAAATCCATCTTGGGGTAATCAATACATTGGCGATGAAATTCTACGTGGTATTCCTACGAATAAATTCAAATCATGTTTTTACGTACCTGATATTAGAGCAACTGTATCTGCAACATATTATATATCTGATGTAACAAAATTTCAAGCTTATTTACCAGCAAATGAAAGTATTATATTAAAAATAGATGTTCAAATTAGAGCTCAAAATGGTCGTCAAGAGCTATATACATATAATGTATTTCGTTATACACCATATCCTAGACGTCGAGAACAACGTCAAGCATTAGAAACTCCAGAAGGTGTA